TATATATATTTATTTATTTTTTTTTATTTCTTTTTTTTAAATTCATTTTAAACTGTTAATATGTTTGAATAAGAGATTGTATATGAGGTGTTGTTTATTTGTGAAAAATATAAACTTCAGTTTTACTAAATTTGTGGTATAAAGTTGTGCATTTGATATTTTGTTTAAATTAAAATAATACAATTTACTGCAACACTTTACATCTATTTGAGTCTATTTATGATCTGGTAAGTTGTGTGACTCAGTGTCCGGCTCCTCCCCTTGCTGAAAACACTCCTGTGTACTTTATGGTCTAGTTCACTTTATGAAACTCACCATAGGAGACGTGAACGACTCTCTTTATCTGCTGAAGTACAGGTAAGATCCAATGAGATTAACATTAACTATTGACCTGTCATTTTAAATGTTAGTTCACAATGTAAAGGGCAACAGGTACAATGCAGCTTTTTAAAAAGATGATACAAATAAGTGGTAAATATTTGAATGATGTAATTGTATAATGCAATTACATTTTGAAATACACAGTTCATTTTTAAGTTTGACCAATTACTAAATGTTTATAGCTGCCATTTCAAAAACATGTCTGGAAATCTGTCCCGAAACCTGCTAGATAAATATTTAGATTTGTCCTGATGACGACATGAGGTTTCTGGTTGAACTTGTTCTTCTCCAAACTACACGCTCAACAGAGGCCTCTGAAGATCCCCATTACACTCAATGGAATGCTACACAAACCCATTATATAAGTGTTTGGAAATATTTACATAGACACAATAGCTCAAGCTTTCCTCTGTAAATGATGGTAGTTGCAGAAAGTCAAGTTAGCCTATAAAGAGTGCAGCATAATGTGTTTTTTTTTTTACCCTGCTGTGTTAAAAAAGTCTGACAATAATTTTCCAGTCTCTTATAGTTAATGTGTTTCCATCCAACATCAGACCATCACTACTAACTTATTCATGGTTACTGGGGCAAAACAGGCTATACAAATAGCCATATTTTGTGTACCACACATTTATTAAATTACATGAAGTTGTGAACTTACACCTACATTGAACTTATACAGGGTTTATGCCGGTCTTAAAACGTCTTAATTTGCAGATTGAGGATTTAAAAGGTCTTAAAGCAGAAGTCGTGAATTCGTAAAGTCATGGCATTAAGTATTTCATGCATTACAATAAAAATTAATTTCTTCCTCAATATTTTTTCTTGTTTTCCAGTAAAAATATCAAAACATCCTTAAATTAAGATGTTTTTACTTGAGATGCAAAATATATATGAAATCCTGTTTTCTTCTTAATACAGTTAAGTGAATTAAGGGAGCCACGGTATGCAAGCCGTATTTTTATTTTTTTTTATTTGGTAAACTTCATTAAAAAATAATGTAGATCAGCTGGAAGTTGTATTTTTAAGTGTTGCTAATACAACTCATTGACATTTACATGTAGAGGTCATATTGATGTATTGTGTTCCCTTCAATTTATTCATTACATTTTCTTTACTTGGTCTTAAAAGTTATTTAAACAATCTTAAATTTACTTTCATAAATCCTGCAGAAAACCTTTTATAAAAGAGGAGAATTTTTTAATTAACCCCTTTATTCTTGTCAGTACATGTTATGCTTTCTAACACTAAATTTGATACATTTTATTTGATACATTCATTTGATACATGGTATATTTATGTGCACATTTGGTACTGTCCATGCGTCATCCATCATGGAATATTCAACAAATCATTTCAGAGCAATTTCAAAGTGGAAATGTTGCTATTTTCAAAAGCAGGAAAAGACAAGGATAAAAATAGTTTGACATGCCTTACGACAGTGTTTTAAAAAGGGTCATAATTAAATGTGATTTGCAATACAGCATAGTACTTTCAGGTTTATTCTGAAGGTCTTGTGACATTGTAATTTCTCAGGGATGGAATCTTCCATCAGTCGCCTGTCCGAGAAGCATTTCTTGTGCTCTCTGTGTGAGGAGATCTTCAGCAACCCAGTGACAACGCCCTGTGGACACAGCTTTTGTAAGGCATGTCTCCGTGTTTACTGGAACCTTTTGATAACACAGTGAATCAACATTTTATAAAAGTTTTGTTTCGCTTTTATTATTGATGTTTCTTTATGAAGATTGACATGCTGAATATGAAAATCACATTACTTTTTGTGTATCATTGACAGTGCATAAAAACAAACAAACAAAAAAATGTTGACAACTCATACAAGCTAATCTGCTATTACTTATGCATACAAATTATGATACATACTTAGCTAACAACAACAGTTTAGCATAAACAGTTACCAAAAGTGAGTCGTCCAAAACTTCAGAAGGGTACGTTAGATGATTTTTGTCTTTTATGACTAGTCCCACAATGTTCTATAATGTTCCAGAAAGCAGCAGAATATTCCAGAAACTTCTTGAATGTTCCCATCTTTGCAAAAGCAAAATATCTTTAAAAAAACATGCAAAATTAGTACAAAAACTTATCTGTACTATACCAGTGTTTCATACTTAATGTTAGAAGTTCTCAAATTGATCTGTCCTAAATATTATGTTACGTATTGTAAAGTATTGATCTCCCCAAAGTGAAAATTCAGTAATTATTTACTCACCTTCATGTTGTTCAAAACTTGTATGTTCTATTTTTGTTTTCAGTGCTACATGAAGTATTTTTAAGAATCTTTACACAGCTCCTTCCACACAACTATTGAAGTCTGTTCCGAAAAGGCTCAGAAAGAGCCAATGAACACAATAAAAGTAATCAATATGACTTGTGCGTTATATTCAAAGTCTTCCGAAGTCATGCAATAGCTATAAGTAAAGAACAGATTCAAATTTATGTTGTTCTTATTTGAAAATCTTCCCTTTTGCCATATTCTAATGACTCATTCTCCATCCTGTAACTTGGCACATCACATTTGGTTTTGAAGTCAACACAATGTCTGTAGGATGTATTTATCAGTCTGAAAAAATAACAGCATACAGATTTGGAACAACATAAGGGCAAGCAAATAATGACATCATTTTTATTTTGGGTGAAGTTTACCTTTTAGCAAGTATTGCATAGTATAGAATAAATGACATATTTTCATCTACAGAGCTTCAGTGATATACCGCGAGCAATGAGAGACTGGTCTAAAGTTACACTGGAGACTGATCCTTGTGTTGGCTTCACCGGGCAGGCTGTGGTGGACTTCATGGATACAGTCACGATGGAAGCTAAAAGACTTTCTAAAGCTGGTATGACTGCATGATTAAAATAACACTACAGTATATGCTTCAGTATTTCATACTGTCCTCAGTTTGTCCTTCTGCTTTTAGTAGGCTACATATTTTTTCACAGCTTCATCTGTTTATCATATGTATGCGTTATTTAGCATTTAAAACATTAATGCCATGTTCTGGGGTCAAAAGCTGTACAATTTTAATGTATGACCACATTTTTCTTCTTAAAAGGGCAGATAACATACAGTAAATGGTGATGATACATCCACACCAGTAGGTGGCAGAATAAAGTCCAAGACCGTTGTGGTATTGGGCAGTGAAATAACAGATTTGTTCATGTTTCAAAAATAAACAAATTTACTATATACAGTGCTGGGTATTAACTGCGTACATGTAATCTGGATTATGTAATCAGACTGCAAAAATTAAGTACTTGTAATCAGATTATATTTCATTTTAAAATGCTCATAATGAGATTACAGTTACTTTTTTGTGGATTACATGATTACATTTTATTCACACACACACATTTTATAATTCACCCCAGTTCTTTTTTTCTTTTACATTTTCCCTTCTAAATGAACATACCACTTATTCATGAGACTAATATTTATGCAAGTTACTAAACACTGCTGATGCATAGCTGTGAAATAGGACATGTCTTCATCATATCCAGTGATCTTCACTATTTATTAATATTGGAAGCCTGGACAAAAATATTTCAAGCCTGGAAGACTTTGGCCATGTAATCATGTTTATTAATGTTTTTATGATTTCATTAATTATTCGTTTTGTGCACAGTAATCAAATAATCACAATAATCACTCCATGTGATAAACAAGTTAGGTTAATAGTAATCTAAAAGTATATACTGTACATATACATTTTTCTGCCAATGGAGAAAAATGTGGTGTAGTTAGCAGAAGCTAACTGATTAAGCTAACTCGTTAAACCATGATTTTTGAGAGCAACTTAAATAGCACAGCATCATTGTGTATGCCATTGATGTTTCATATGCAATTTGCTATTTTTCAGAACTAAAGAGACTGCAGAAGTACTCAGGTGTCTTCATTGTACATTTATAGATGTTTTTTATATATAGAATTTGTTTTCTGTCATTGTTTCATTGTTTTGCAAAGCTAATCGTCCATCTTCCTTTTCAGTTGATGTAAATCTGAATCCTCGGACAGCTCACACTTACCTCTACATCTCTGAGGACAGGAAGGAGGTTAGACATGCGAATAAACGTCAAGAAGTCCCAGAAAACCCCAAAAGGTTTGACCGTGTGGCAAACGTAATGTCCAAGGAGGCCTTTAGCTATGGAAGACACCTTTGGGAAGTGGAGGTTGGAGACAAGACTGACTGGGATCTGGGAGTAGCCAAACAATCTGTTAACAGAAAGGGAAAATTCACAATATGTCCAGCCAACGGCTTCTGGATGCTTAGCTTAAAGAATGGCACCCAGTTCACTGCCAACACATTCCCTCCAACTTTCTTCAGCCTCAGTCACAAACCTAAAAGAGTGTCTATTTACCTGGACTATGAGGAGGGACGTGTGTCTTTCTATTGTTTGGATACCGGGACTCATATCTACACTTTCAAAGATGCTTTCACAGATAAGCTCCACCCCATCTTCAGCCCGGGACGACCCCACGGGGAAAAGAACACTGCTCCCCTTATCATCAGCAGTAGCTGCTGCAGCATCTGAAACAATATGCTAGCTCTTACAGCTCTTTCACTTTCTTTACCATTGCCATTATAGGATGCAATTAATTGTATTATTATTATCATTACAAAAATTACTTTTTATTTATTACTGGTGCTTGCTAAAACCTTGATTTTTTATGTGACTAACATACTAAAGCACATGTAAAGTACTTGATTATAATTTTAACTTCTATGTTTTTTGATATTACACTTAAAGTTAATATAATTTAAATTGCAGCGTTGCCTTTGTCATTATGAATGTGTAATTATAAATTAATTTAAATACCATGACTATCAATAGAAATCACATAGTTCACCATTATTGATGGTCACGTTTGGCAGTACACTTCAACCATATTTCAAATACAATAATTATGAAATTACATACAGTATAAAGCTGCGCTTAGGTCCTACATAAGTGGGTAAGCTAAATGTATTTAATATACATTTAAACTATAATAAATTATAATTTAATTGTAAGTAACAATCATTTAAAAGTTAAAAGTAATTTATTTTGATTTGCAATTAGGTATATTCTTTTAAGGTATATTATTTCCATAATAAGTACCATTTTAAATGTATTCTAAAGTGTACTTCCTTTTCATAGGGGACCACATAGCAACATGCTAAGAAACACTCAGATCACTTTAGCAACCCACAACATCGCAGCAGCATCATGGCGGTGAAATTTAGTTATCATTACAATTTATATAGGTTATGATAATCAAATTATGATGATTCATTTTTTATTTAAATTAACAAAATCCAATCTTTTGAAAATGTAGAAGATTCTAATCCAAAATTCCACAATTGTACTTTTATGTATTTATTTATTTATTCCTTAAATGTTATTTGTAACTGTACACATATGCCATTGTCATGAGACATGAATGTAAGACTTTAACATATTGTACTCACTCTGTGAACTTTTATGAAAGCGAAATGAATGAAAGGTAGTAAGAAACGACGGAGTTCACTTCAAGGAACAAGAAGGCAATGGATGAAAAAGAGGACTAGATGGATGGGTTGGGGATGGAGGAGGGCGAGGGCGAGGGCGAGGGCGAGAGAACAGCGAGTCATTGTGCTGGTACACCAGGCACTGGGAGACACACTCAAGACACATTAACGCATTCACACACTGACACAAACGCGCTCATAAGCGCATGCTTCTGCCCACCGCTACACAGACCCGAGCTGGTATCCCAGAGGGCAGCACTTCACTCCTGTCCTTGCCTCTGAATCTTACAACCCAAGTGACATTCACTCTAGCTGAGCCTCTTCAGAGGTCTGAATCTGTAGGTTTCACCTCCATCACAGGTTTATGGCATTTCGGGTCAAGCTCTGTATCCAGATCGAAGGTAGCCAAAGCAAGAAGTTGGAGGATTAGCAGATGAGTGACTGTGGAAGGAGTTAAACTTCAGAGACTTTGTTGTCGTCCATCAGGTAACAACAAGTTCAGTCATTTATTATGGAAATCAGAAGTATGGTTCAGCAAATAACTTGATATGTTACTAAAAGAACTAACAATTTTGTCTAGGCTGTTTTTAAACGTAAGGTTCACGATTGAGACTAAATGCTTGTGCAGCACTGTTACAGCAGCATTCAGAATTGACATAAACAGACTCAGGTCTACGTGGCCCACTCTGAATGTTTCAAAGAAAGCTTCTTGTGTCCAGAGGCTCCTCATGTTTTTCTGAGATAATCCACTCACCCCACCAGGCGTAGCTCTACACCCACCGCAGTGTGAAAAGAACCCATTCTCTCGGATGTATAGTGAATCCAGTAATGCTCACTGTACATAACAGTGCCCAAATATTTATGTATAAAACCACATTAATATTTAAAGGAATGTTCTGGGTTACAAGTTAAGCTGCATAAACAGCATTACCACAGAAATATATTAAAAACAGCATGGTATGATACAATAGAAGCACATGGGACCAGGTATTAAACAATAAAATAAACACAGTTTCAGTAATATTGCCAAGTACAGTGGGTTTACACTGCAAGATTTAAGTGCTAATTTTCACAAGTTAATGGATTAGTGGCAACAGCCTGAAGTCGAAAGCAAATAGGTGCTTGTTCACATGACGATCTGAAAAATTTACATTACAGATGCCCAAGAGATATTTAGCAGCTTTAATATCTAGACTTGTCTGTGACTCCAAATCCTGCCAAGTGAAATGTGTTTTGACTGGAAAAGACCTCAGCAATGACAGACAGTTGTGTAGAGTGAAACCAACAGCAATCCAACGACTTTGAAAGTTGTATAGTGCATGGGCAGCATTAGACATTACACTTGTTAACATGTGACTAGTGTGATGAATCACTTACTGACCTTATTTTATAATATTTCTGTAATCTAATCTCTCATCTTTAATGTCATAACCACGTAATACCACTAAACCTGACAAACAACACACGCATTAATACCAGAAAGTGGCTTTTTACCTGGACCAAAAAGATATTCTACTCACAGGAACGATCTCTGGAATGGATAACCAGAAGTTTGTCTGCTTAAAAAAAAAGTAGTTCCACCACAAGGTCGATTTAGGCAACTGTACAGCTCACATATGTTTACTGAGTAACACATATGTACATTAACAAAAACATGAGCTTTACTTTTCTGACTTAAACCTTCTTTAACACTGGTTGTTGTAACCACAGGTTTTGCCTATTTTAAAACCAATTGAAATGATCTAAAAAAAAAAAAAAAAATGAAAAGGTACCTTTAGGGGTACAATAGCTTGTCACTGGGATATTCCCCTGAAAAGGACATCTTTGTGCCTTATCTATCCCTAAACAGTTCATAGTAGTACCTCATAGGTACTCTAAGGTACTTAAATGCACCTTATAGAAGTAGATAAGGTATAAAGTTGGCCCTTTGAGGGTACTACCCCAATGACAAGCAATTTTGCACATTTTCTTGCAGCATATGCCACAAATGCTGTCGATAGAGCTTAACCCAGGGGTGTCCTGAGTGCTCCTGTAGAGCCAGCTTCCAAAAAAAACTTATTTCGAACCCTAGTCAAACACTGGTGTGTTTTGGCAGGTTGAAACTAAATTCTACAGGACATTGACCCTTCAGGAGCAGGATTGGTAACACCTGGCATAACTTGAGCCCAGAACTTCTCTTTAAGACAGGTGTGCTCCTGGAGGGCCATGTTCCTGAGTTTAGCTCCAACACACCTGCTTGGAAGTTTACAGTGATCCTGAAGACCTTGATTAGCTGGATCAGGTGTGTTTAATTACAACTTTGCTGGATGGTGGCCGTCCAGGAGCAGGATTCTACATGAATGGTTTAAGCTCATTAATATTTTAGAAACATTTGGAGGAGTCAAGAATTCAAGTCCTGTCAGTGTGTGTTTTTTGGAGTTTGTATACTGTAACAACACACTATAACTTTCTGTAACTTGTACGCATTCATTTGTTCCAGTCTTTAGGTCCACTTGTCAGTCTACTCTCTTCATTTATTGGAACTCACTTTGGAAAGACTTTGTCTTCGCAATTCTCACTGGCGTTGAAGTCTATTGAAGGCTTCTGTCTGTGCTATCCATTGGACTCTTCCAAGTGATCATTCTTGGAAAAGATTCACCATGGCAACTACCGGCATGCAGCTGTTTGGCCTGGTCCTGTCCATCATGGGCTGGGTGGGTGGGTTCCTGGTGTGCACCCTGCCCATGTGGAGGGTCACCGCCTTCATCGGAAACAACATTGTAACGGCGCAGATCACATGGGAGGGCCTGTGGATGAATTGCATCTGGCAAAGTACAGGGGAGATTCAGTGCAAGGTCTATGACAGCCTGCTGGCTCTTCCTAGTGACATGAAGGCCGCCCGGGGTCTGACAGTTCTCGCTTTGCTCATCTGCACCTTGGCGCTCACGCTGGGTGTTCTGGGTGTTAAGTGCACCGAGTGCGTGGGCCTCCCAAGCCTCAAAGCGCGCTTGGCCCGCGTGTCCGGTGTGCTCTTTGTCATCGCAGGGTTCCTCATCCTTGTACCTGTCTGCTGGACGGCCCATTCTATCATCAGGGATTTCTATGACCCCTATGTGGCGGCCCCTCACAAGCGTGAGCTTGGCCCCGCACTCTACCTGGGCTGGGGGGGTTCGGCTCTGCTTTTGATCGGTGGATCGCTCCTCTATGCAGGGTCCAATCCCCCTGGGATTCCCTCTTCTCCTACATTTAGCAGTGGCGAGAGCAGCCCACGTCGAGCGGGTGGACCAGCCCAGGTTAAGGGTTATGTTTAATGGCCAGCATCGACACACCAGTCCCCGACAGCCTTCTCTGCTAGAGTTTCCCATTGTGATAGATTCAAGTTAATTTTAATCTATTTTTATCATTCAGAATATTTCTGTAGTGTGATAGAGGTAGTGAATAGAAATGTGAAATCAAGTTTCCTTGCCACCTCTAATGTCCACTTATAAGTCTGTCTTTCTTTGTGTTTGTCTATTATGTTATTCAATAATAAAACCTTAAATCCTTTATAGTGTCATCTCATGCATTTTTTGGAGATCTGTATGTTTATTCAGATTGATTATGTCACTCATGTTACTTAAAAGGATAGTTCATCAAAAAATTTTAATTCTGTCATAATTTTTCTCACCTTCATGTTGGTCTAAACCTGTATGATTTCCATTCATCTTTGAAACACAAATGAAGATATTTTTAATGAAATCTGAGTCATTTCTATCACTGAAGGGCATTACACAAAAACACTGACTTTTCTAAAAGTGTATAAAGACATCGAAGAGTTTTGCAAAAGGTTTAATGTATTTACGTGACATAAGAACACACCTCAATGGTTCTGGTACGGCGAACAAGTACGGTTTACCATATTTGATGTGCTCTATGTCTGTGTGTTGATCAATGTTTATATGTGAATAAAAGACTAAATTAAACCTGTTCATAAAATGATCATGTTTCTTCAGAAGACTTGGATTCATTCATTCATATAGATTACTTTAACAAAGTCTTTATGAAATTTTGTCAAAGTTTTGGTGACATGGACTTTTTAAATGAAAGGACAGAAATCTCTCAGGTTTCATTTAAAATATCTTCATTTGTGTTTATAAGAGAGAAGATAGTCTTATGGCTTATGGCAAAATATTATTTTTTGGGTGAACTATCCCTTTAAGATGCTAACATTAATGAATAAATAAATCTTTAAGGTAATTAAGTTAAAGGTCATTCACAAACTTTGGATTTACAGAATATCTGATACACATGTAATTCCAGATAAGTCAAGTCAAGGCACCTTTATTTATATAACGCTTTTTACAATACAGATTGTGTCAAAGCAGCAGTGTTAAACAGGAAAAATGTGTGCTGATAATGCAAGAGGACAAACGAAAACAGTCCGTTTATCAGTTAAAGTCAGTTCATTGTTGATTCAGTGATGTCATCGTCCAGCTCAGTTCAGTTCTCTTCCAATAGTGTCTGTGCAGTCAAGTCAACAAACAATGTTGCCAGAAATTAAATGTCCCCAACTAAGCAAGCCAAAGATGACAGTGGCATCCAAACTCCATTGGTGACAGAAATGGAGAAAAAAATAGACCATTGGAGAAACCAGGCTCAGTTGGGGGGCCAGTTCCCCGCTGGCCAGACGAAACAAGCATGGTGTGGTTTAATTTCAGGCTGCAACGCACATCAGATAAACCTCTACCTCTCATGTAAACAGTTTAAATGAAGCCATTCTTGGCTTGTGTTGTCTCGGCTCTCTGAGCATCTCTGGCTGTTGTTATGGTGGCTGCTTCTACAGACAGCAGTACAATACCACTGTATGTTGCACCACCAGGACAACATTTACAATAGCTGCATTGTTTACTGCGCCAGGTAGTGACTCGTGTATGACCTAATGCTACGAGTGAAAATCCAGGGTTGTAAAATATAGAAAAGTGGTTATTGTTGTCTTGACTGCTGGAGTATAAGGGATAAAGGAACCTAGGCAGAGGGTGGTTGGCAGCAGGGCTTATTTTTATATAAGGGACAAGTGTTATATTCAGGTAGCTCTTTCACATTACTTACTGTACAAGGGAGTTGAAGATACAGCATTGTTTGCAACAAATATACAGTATAAATCATGCAGTGACTGGTACACTAAAATTTTCTGCTTATTCTAATTTCTTACCACAATGATCAATACAAAATTACTTTACTGTGTTGTTGTGATAGCAATAATGGCCAATTATGCCGATAACTGCCTACATTATATATATATATATATATATATATATATATGTGCGCCAC